GTTAATGGATTGACCTCCTTTTAGCGGACACCCTGTATATTATATAATGAAATATCGTGAATTCCAATAATTATTCAAACAATGCACAGAGATCTCAAGAAAAATCAGTTTGCGATAGTGAGCTAGTTTGGGTTATTACATCAAAATAATGAAATTTTTTTTAACTGAACCAGGCCCATTGAATAGAAATGTCTTATAATATTTTTTTTTAATGGAAATAAATAAATACTTCATCATGGTCAACAGTCATGAACCATGAGAGCAAATAATTATTGGGCAGTCGAGTATATCATATTTGGAAATACCAATTTATTTTTTGTTGTATTTCGGTCTCTGTACTGAATCATTTCTAGAATCCAAATCTAAGAATGCAACTCAATGACTACACGAAACGCAAGTGATCTGAATTGTTTGTATCAGTTTTACTTCAAATTCAGTAGTTTTTATTTATTTATTTTTTTCTGTGACGGGAAAAAAGTTTGGCATTTCATCTCTGTTGGCAGGTTATAAAATGTCACTTTTCATAAATTACTTTTTTCCCGTGGGAAAAAAGTGAGTACTTCTTTCCCGCATATATATCATATATATATACTCTGTTAATGGCTTTTGTTGTGCTATAGTTCCGAAAAATAAGTCAATAATACCGTCTCCGAGAAAGAACTGCAAGTCCTTTTATCTTCCATTCGACTTCGCGGTTTCGTATATTACTAAACAACTACTGAATTCGCAATTTTTTAAAATCAAATCACAGAATTGAACTGACAGAAGTGACATCAGATATTTGATTACTTCAAAAGAATGATAAAGATGTCTATAAAACGCAGGTGTCCCTACTGTTAAAAACTTGAAAATTCACGTCGATAATTTTCAGATATCGGAATAATGTAATATCTTCCCAATATTGATTCGTCCTTCCTTCTGTCACAGAAAAAAATAGTGTATTATACACGGGAAAAATATTAGATTTTAGCTCACGGTTTTTTGTCTCCCTCCGCTACGCGTCGGGAGACAACACAACCTGGAGCTAAAATCTACTACTTTTTTCCCTTGTATAATAAATAACTATATTTATTGAAAATCAAATAGGATAACGACAGACCCCAAGGTCCAGATTGTTATCCACAATTATTACATAGTTTCATGGTGTACATATAAATTAATAACCCAAAAACTAAAATAAGTTTGAAAAATTTGATAATGAAGTAAATAAGATTTATCATTGAAATGATTACAATTTGCTGAATATTCTATGCACTGTGAGTTATACATATTTCTCTAAGATTTTTTTATTCGTAACTATATATACAGTATGATGCAAATGTATGGAATAAATTCATCTCAAAACAAGACGACTTCCGAAAAAAATCCAAAAACTAGAGTTCAGAACTTTTTTTATTGTGTATTTTTTCAACTAGACGACCCTTCGATGTTCAATTCTCACCAGTGGCAGACCTCTGCAAGATTCAGTTAACCAAATGATAATCCATTTTAATTGCAATATTCTTATGCAAAATTTTGACTGTTGGATAGACGATCAGTAGACCTATCAAACGAGGTGTCACATGACCCCTGCTTGTATTTGAAAGAATCGTCCATTACGTCATTACTTCTACACCAGTGACGTAACATCTCTCATATGAATGTCACGATATGAGGCTTCAAAAATTAAAACTCACGTGTTTTTGGAATTTCTTCAAATGTCGCCCATTTCTGAAATAATGAATTTATTCCATTATATGGGTATAGGCAGGAGATATATTCGTATATTCGTTCTCGAGATGTCTAAAGCTGAAAAGCTGAGTAGACATTGAATTTTTTCAACATACTCATATAATAATCTACTTCGAACATTCTTTAAACAAGGTGTCACTGACTACCGATTGAATTACTTTTCCAGGTTTTTAATATTGGAATTTTAAGCGCATCACATTTGATTCGGCTACAAATATTTTGAAATTCTTTACGTATATTTCTATCGACGAAACTGGTGACACAATTGAAGGAATCAATAGGTTTATTTGTGAATTCCTTTGGGTTGGCAGTCAAAGTGAAACTGTTGAAGCTCTCGAATCGTTATTGGCACTTCATCAGTTATTCTATAGAACATCAAAAATGATATAAATTCAATCTTTGGTATTGTTATAAACTCCCAAACACTCCGTTAAGTGAGGAATAACACATTTGTAAACGAACTTTGATGGAGACATTGATGTTTTTGATGGATACTTGACAATATTTGATACATTTTACTTGAAATGAGCATTCCACAAACAATATTCGATTGTTATCATCTTTCAACATTAGTTTATGACCATGGTTATTTCGTATTAGGCCGGCCAGCTGCCACCTTGATGCACATCATTGAAATTAACATATCTCAAATAAATCACTGTTCGAATAAATTTCGCAATTCAGGATGGTATTCAATGAATACAAGGTGAAAAAGTTGACACATATGGGAAACATATATTATACGCAGGGTCTAGTGTTTTTAAAAAGACTACCGTGTGCTTATATTTCCAAACGAATTTCGAAACTTATTTCATTTATACAGGGTGTATCTAAATAACACCGAAAAGATTCAAGGGGTGATTCCTTGTAATATTCTAGCAAATAAAGGTCATATCGTCGACGAAATTGCAAAACCAAGTAACTGACAAAAATTCGAAAATGGGATTCTGGCGGCAATCGGTCTATCATATTGGTGGGGATGCGTATGCAAAACCTCACAACTGGTAAAAATTTGTAAATGTTTCAAAATCCATAAATACAAAACCCCTTATCTTGAAAACAAAATGAAAGGGGTCGTCAAAAACAAGTATCTAACAGTTGGCAACGTGATTCACGCCTCTAATATTTTGTGTTCAATTCCTTTTCACAGAGATCAATCTCTGCTAATTGGTGAGTGACTTTTTTTAGAAGAGATATGTTGAACAGTTTATTCTTAACTTCAATTGGTATTTCAACACAGGATGTGAGAATTTATCTCGAGTATTTGTTAAGCGGAAAGTCCAGAAAATTGAAGTTACGTGTTTTTGCGAATTACTTTTCTGAATAATTGTTGTTGCTTTCGCACAGAAGCAGATGTCAAAACCAAGTATCTTACGCTGACAAAGGTAAACGTTGACTTAATTCAATTATCAGTGTACAAACGTAAGGATGATAATCATCAAGTAGTTCATTACTATTTTTCATTGAATCTGATCAGTTAACCCGAAATTATAAAGTTTTTAGTGTCTCCTGAAAATTTTGGTTTTTGCAGTAACTTGGTTTTGCGGTTTCGCCGACGATATAAACATGTATCATAGCTTGCTTCGTTTTTGAGATACAGGATGTTGAAGTTAGAAGTATCAATTGTTTTTATTTATAACCTCCCTGTATAAGCTTTCATGGTGCCAAAATTCAGTATGGTTGGAGACTGAGAAAGCCCTAAAATTACAAAATGATTGTGATTAGGGTTATTGAGTAATCTCAATGGTAGTTTTGGAAACACCTATACAATAAAATTTTGAGTCAAATCGAATTTTTATTGTTTTCTCAAATAATAAGCTAGATACAAAAATTACACAGAGGATAAAAAAGTTGTTATTTCAATAGTTCAATCTGATAAAAATATGAAACTCAGAAGAACCCGTGGAGAACAATGACATTCACCATAAATATCGATACATTTTTCCACTGTGACGCCACTGGAAATATTATTTCAAATTTAATTGCACCAGAAGAAGTTCCATATTACAATTAACAAAACCACAACGTTTTATTGAAATTGATGGAAAGGCAATTGAGTAATAATATAAAAAACGATTTTTCATGGAAATATTGATACCCTATATGTCGAAAACGCAGCAAGTTAGGACACATGTCCATATGAACTATATTTCCTAAAATATCACAAGGAATCGTCCCTTGAATCTTTTCGGTGTTATTCAGATACACCCTGTATACCTAACTGAATAAATACTGCGAATTGAGCATTCATATCTAGAATAATCAATTCAGATTCAAGAGAATATGATTCAAATGTAGGTACTTGATGCATATTTCGTATAATTCTATTGACATATATACAGAGAAGTGCACAAAGAACGGCCAGGATTGTAACTTTTGAATTATTCTTTATAGAGGTTTGAGAATTGGTGGATTACAAGTATACGAAATGACTCATTAATTGATGAAACAATGTTTCCTCTATTACTTCCAGTTTCACCGAAAACGACCTCAACTTTTGATTTGTATGGGACATCCTGCATTGTATTCCATAATCGGTTAGGGATTATCATGACGAACCCAACGATACCGGGTTTAATGAGGTTATTTCGAACAATTGAAAAGATATTTGCGATCGAAGTTTCCATATGTTCGATGAGTGTGACTTCGCAATATCAAAACTTTTTTCTCTCACACTCATTGAGCATATGGAAAATTTTAGAGCGCAAATATCTGCGTAATCGTTTGAAATAACCCAATGAAACCCAGTATCGATGAATTTGTCATGACAGTCCCTAACCGATTATGGAATACAATACAGGGTGTCCCAATTTATAATCAAGAGTGGTGGTCGTTTCCCGTAAAACCGGAAGTGATAGAAGAAACATTGTTTCGTCAATTATTGAGCAATTTCTTATACTAGCTGCCCACCAAGTTTCAAAACCTTATCTCGAATAATTCAAAGGTTACGGTCCTGGCCGTTTTTCGTGCACTTCTATGTATATTATTGACCTCGATATATTTCATCGTAAAAATGAGGGATTTTTCCTCAAAACATTTGAAACTGTTCTCAGCGTTAAACAGTCTGTATAGTCATATATAAAGAACGTACAATTTCTCATATAACAGAAAAAACTTTTGGTCGTACACTGTTCAAATATAGTTGTGATAAAGTGTACAATGATATCCATCATGTAGCCTCTGGTCAAATAATGAGGTTTTTCAAATCGGAAATTGAAAGAATAATACAAACCTATCAAAAAATTAACAGCATAGCTGATAAGTACCTACTTACTTTGAAAGTTGTTCCTTCACTTTCGTATAGCAGTTTATTACAGCTCACAGAATGAGAAGCTCAAATATATGATACCATGACCTTAACCATACACGTTTTTCAGATTTCAAAGAATAATAAACACATTTAATCACTTAGTTGTGACCAGAGTGGAAGATACGATGGGTCATCATCTGTTGTTGCGATAAATATGTATATTTACTGATGTTTCAGTATCCTCATGTTTTGATTTTCCGACTGTAAAAAAACCTAATTTGACTCGAGGTTTGAAATTTCCATCAAGCTTTGCCATATCAATATTCACACACTTATTATTTATTTATATTTTTGATAACTTGAGAACTATTAGCAAACAGTGCTGTTATTAAAAAAAAAAAATGCGATGCAGGTGGTAAGTGACAAAATTTTGTTTAACTATTGTGATTGTATAAAAACCAGAGTCATTATTTTTAGAATAATCATGAACAACGACAACCACTGTTAGCGAATAATTGTTATTCGAGTTACACCCAGCAAGATTTTTTGTTACCAGAATTGAAAGGTTATTAAACTGTTGGTGAAGAGCGATGTTGACTTCATATTCAGAATATTTGGTTCACCGACGTATATCTGGAAGTAGGTGATTGGTAAGATGATTTGAACCTATTGAACCATCATATTGGAACCTATAATGGTATATATGTACAAATTGTTACATTTTTCGAGAAATCATCGCCGTTTTCCGATTTTTTTTGGCTGGATTAGAATTCATAAAACTAATAACTGTAATATCTAACTTCGACCCAAGAAGCGAATAAGTAAAAGTGTGTAAATGAAATAATCGTTCAAATACCTTCAAAAAATTCCTTTGTCTTAACCCTATTTATTGATACATCACCAATCTATCACTACATAATATTCTTTCATTTTTGTTCCCTAATAGCACGGGATCTTGCTGGTATATCCCTACAAATGTACCAATGTTTCAGACAGGTACGATATCCCAGAGATGTTTCTTTTGAGACATCCATCAGATGTTTTCATTGGATGTTCCAGAAATATCCCATTCGATCTTTTCTTCATACACATATGTACCTATACAGGGTGTGCAATAAGTGCGTTAAAATATTCATTTGCTGTATTTCTGAGACCATTCTAAGAAAAAAAGTCTCTATGGGTGATTCAAAATTCGATGAATGAATTTCAAGGACCTATTGTTGGGATCAAAAAAAGACTTTTTTTTTACATAAACATGTATCTTAGAATGCACCCCCTTCTAGCTACAGCCACTGTGAGTTAGGTAAAAAATGATTATCTTAATTTGTGACTACAATCACATCTTCTGGAAATTTGCATGCCCTTGTCTTTTTAAGACACTCTATTTCCATCTTGCTTCAAAAATGATGGAGTTGCAGGGGGGGTCCACCCTTTTATTGTCCCAAATTTCATTTTACGGAGGAGAAACTATATCTGAATTCGAATCGCATGATCTTGTGTGAGCCATAAAAAGTTTCGAAATTCGGTATCTTGCATTTTTTTAATACCACTAACCGTTTTACATAAAATCGTAATCAACGAACGCAATGGGTTAAACACTTGCATACGGAGGTGATCGCATGTCGGAACGCATTTGAGACTGCAATATCACAATTTCAGATAATCTTTTGTTTTTTACCCAACTTACCGTGACTGCTGCTCGTAGAGGGTGCATTTTAGGCCACATCATTGAATATAAAGGACAAGTTTTATCTTGATTCCAACAATACGTACTTAAGATATTAACATCGAATTTTGAATTACCCTTTATAAACTTTTGTCCGGGAATGCTTCATTTCGCTAACATCTCGCTAAATATTGAACTTTCATTATATATTGCGATTAAAAGTTATTCATATTCAAAATATGAATACTGTCTGAAGGTTAATCGAGGAGGTGGTACATTCATTATTTCAGATTTTTTGGGATTTTCTCTCCTCGTTTCTATAGATTAAAAATATGGATATCATTTCAATTCATGTATAGTAAGGACAAATCAGATGATTTGCCCCAAAATGTCACTGCCTTTAAAGAATTTTCCTATCAGAGAGCCTAAAATAGAAATTCACTAGCTATTGTCAGTGACAATTTGTATTGAAAAAAGTTTGGAGAAGAGAATTAAAGGTATATAGAAAAAATATCGAATTTTTACATAGCTTTGGACGTTCGGGGAACGACTCTGCTTCCGTTTTCAACATAAAAAATGGATTTTTTATATCGCAAATTCGTATTTGTCCTGACACTTCTCAGTTATCCATTTTTTATGTTGAAAACGGAAGCAGATATTCGTTCCCGAAACTTCCAAAGCTAAGTAAAAATTTGATATTTTTTTTATATACCTTCATTTGTCTTCTCCAAACTTTTTTCAATACGAAGTATTGTCACTGACAAGCTAGTGAATTCTTCTTTCAGGCTCTCTGATAGGAAAATTGTCTAAACGCAGTGACATTTTGGGGCAAATCATCTGATTGGTCCTTACTACACGTATATTGAAATAATATTCTTATATTTATTATATAGTAACGAGGAGAGAAAATCCCAAAAAATCTGGAATAATCAAAATATGAATATTTGAGCGCTTGAACGAAGTCGTTAGCTCAAATAGTAATCGAGATATGATATGAGTGATATGAATAGTTCACCCTTCAAAGGGTTGCAAGGGGTGAACGACGCGATTCTGGGGTGGCCAAGCAGTGGTGAGACGTTCTATACTGACATTCGTGATATGTCGTTTTCTTTCATCGTGGGTAGAAAGTGAGTTTATTCCTAACTATTCTAGGACTACAAGCTCAGGTATCCAGTGCATGCTATTGACTCGATATGATTGTTGAAGATCTTGTAATATGAATAATATGTCAACGAAGTCTCTCCTAATAGAAATATTATCTATTCTATAGAATCTTGAGTTGCTCTTATAGCTCATGTAGTGACGAGAGCGGAAGAATCTATAGTTCAAATTGTTGCCCAATTTTTTTTAACATGTTCAATTTGATCCACATATCGATACCTTCAGTTCAATAGTGCAACAATTCGAAAAATAACCATTTTGAGTTGTATACGCTATCTGATTCATCATTTTGTTAGCTTTCACGGGCTATACTGTAACAACTGAAAGTTCCAGTACTGACCAAGGGATGGTGCTATAGTTACTCTATAGAACCGAAGGAAACTTCATCTCCATTTAATTCCATACTGTAATAACTCGATACAATAATCAAGACTTGTTACAGTTTTGAACTGTGGAATATTTTCAGTGATTCAGAGTTGTTACATTGCATAACTCAAAATGGTTAATTTCGACACTCAAAACAAACTTATAATACTATGTTATATCATTGTTCCTGTAGTGATTGTAGTTATTGTACTTACTCATCTAATAATAATGATGATTTTTGATCACAGAGCTTCATATTATCAATTATATAATTCATATCAATAGTGTAACAAGTCCGAACAAAGTCACTTTTCACCAAAAGTTTTTTTTCTTCTAAATTTGTTGATTTAAGGAAGTAGAAAGAAAACTACTATAATATGGCTATTATTTTATATTCTTGGGACATAATCTACAAAAGTAGATTCAAATTATTATGAGCAGAATTTTCAATTGCGATTTTCTCGAAACTACGATTTTTGAGATGTTACACTATTGAACTATGGTATCGATATTTGTCATACATGGGATTCCAAATGGTAGAGCAGTATTCAAGGATAGGCCTGATTGAGTATTTATATTAAGTTGGTAACTGATAAATAATTTTGAAATTCTTTAGTATTTCTCAGAATGAATCCCAGAGGAAGGAGTGCTTTTTTAACTATAGCTCTAATATGTGATTCAAAACTTGATTTTTCATCTAGTATCACTTCTAGATCACAAACTTCTTCAGTTGTTGATATTATCTGATTATTGATATATAGGTTTTCATCAGTGATAGGGTCTTGAGATGTTGAGAGATCGGGCGTAGCTATAGCTTCTATGATGGGCCTCAATATCAAAACGCCTGTTTTATGCCCTTGATACATAAATAATTATAATAACCTGCATTATTGGGCAAAAGAAAACCTGTATATTGAAAAACCAACTCTGACGCCACGGTCCATAAAAGCCTATTTTACGGCCTTGATACATAAATAACAATAATAACCTGCATTATTGAACAATAGAAAACCTGTATATAAAGAAACCAACTCTGTTTCAATGGAAATTTAATGTAAACGTGTCGGCAGGAATAGTGGGCATAGTTTTTATAGGTAAATGTTGAAAACTGTATCTAGAATTTTGTATAGATGATTTTTTGGATGAAGTGCTTTCGAAAGTAGAAGAACAAATCAGATATCAAAACAACGAATGTCTTGCTCATTACCGGATAACTGTCAGATATTTATAATCAATTCATTATCACTTTTCTGAATAATGGATGGGGCGAGGTTACCCGATATCATGGTCAACTATATAGATCTCCAGAATGAACTTGTTTACAATACCTGCATAAAATTCTGATATTTCATTTTGTTACATCTTGAATTTTATTGAAATAATTACGCTACATTGAGTCTGCTTCTGTTATAATAAAATATCCAGGGCCAATACCTAGAAGGTTTTATGGATATTTGTAAGAATATTTGATTCACATTATTTCATCTCATTTTATTCGCTTATGAAGTCGAAGTCGGATGTTAGGTACAGTTAATCGTTTTTTGAATTCAAATGAGCCACAAAATTTTTTCATCACATCGAAGATATACGAATTCAACTCTATATAAATAGAAATAATGTTCGACAATACATTTATTATTACTTAAAGCGACCTACTCATCTTATTCGGCGAAATTAAAATTGAAATTTAAAAACGACGATATCTCGAAATGCGTAACACTTTGTTTAATTGTATATATATGGTTGAATATGTTCAAAATATTCCGACCTATCACCCCCTTCCATACAATGTGAAGACTTTAACTGGAATAAATTCGCTAGCGGAGAAGTGAATGTTTTTTTCTAAAAATGTCCATCATACGTTAACATTTTAATGTACTTACACACATTTTGCTAGCAATATCGCGTATGAATCCATACAGGGGTAGCTGAAACCACCCTCAGCATGTTTTTTTAAATTCAACCCTATGACCTCTGATTGCTCCTCCTGTTAGGGTGATATGGAAAGAGGAGATCAGCGCACTGTTCAAATTATAGTTTTTACGTTTGAGGGTTGAATAAAATCAAAATATTATTTCAAAATTTGATTTACTTCCAGGATGAAAATTGCTGAAAATGTGTGTTGAACAATGCATAACAAGCATACTAAGGTGAATCGAGGAAATTATGTCCTCATTTTGCTAGATTATTTGGGATTTTCTCTCCCTGTTTCTGTACTGAAAAAAACTATTATTTCATTATGAGTGTAATAGGACAAATCAGAAGATTTGCCCCAAAATGTCACTGCAGTTGAAAAAATCTTCCTATCAGAGAGCCCAGATGAAAAATCCAATTGTTTGTCAGTGACACTTTGTTCTGGAAAATGTTTGGAG